GACAGCTCGTTGGTGTGACCCCATCAGCCTCCTTCTGGCCTCCTCCAGACCCTCAGTCTTGGCTCAGGTATTTCATTCTCATGGTTTCAAACGTACCTGTCACCGACCATCCCCTGCACAAAGCCTGTCCACAGGTCCCCCCTGACTCCAGCCACATCCAGGATCTCCACCCGACAGTTCGTGCTGCTGCTGATCAGGCTGAGCTGCACTCTCCAGCCCCAGTGAGGCCAATGCCTCCTACAACCTAACTCATCCCATGAACCTCCTCCCCTCCCCCAACACACAACCCGGGTTAGGGTTGTATAGTTTTGAATGTACAATTCTAGAGTACCACATCTATATATTTTTATGGGATACCATGTTACTTACTTTTTATCACCACATGACCAGATGGGCATTGTTGAGTCTTCTCTTCAGTTCACAGGACTTCACTCTCCAAACCTTCTAGACAGAAACAACATACATTTATTTCCAAAATGTATTCCCTGCATTTTGGAAATAAATTTTTAGATTAAATGATAACGTAAATACTACACATCAAACCTATGAAATGAAAAAAGGAAAACCCATGTGTGTTTGTGTTTATGTGTGTGAGCGTATGTGTGAGAGTATAAGTGTTTGCATAAATGTGTATGTGTGTGTGAGTGTGGGTGAGTCTATATGTGTGTGGGCTGTATGAATATATATGTGAATGTTTGAGAGTTGTGTGTGTGTGTGTGTGTGTGTGTGTGTGTGTCTGAAGGTGTATTTGTGTGTTTTGGGTGTGAGTGTATGTATTGTGTGTGTTTGAATGGGCCTATATATGTGTCAGTAGGTGTGTACGTTTGAGTGTGTAGTGTTTGAGCAGGCTACTTCCTCCCTTGACTTCTCAGCAAAACAAAAGCCTCCCCCACAAAGATGATGAGAATTTTTCTTGCCTGAGATATGGAGGAAACGAAACCAGCCATTCAATGCAGATGGAGATGTTGGTGTTTTGAGAAATTGAAAAGCAGACATGCCTTGTCCAAAAAAGCAGAAGGAAGATTCCAGGTCAGACCCCTCATGTGGAGTCACGTGGATCTGACAGACCCTTGCCTGGCTGGGGGGGAGGTCATGGCCTTTCCATCAGGTGGTGCTGGGCCAGTGGGTGGGTCTGTGGGACACGGTGAACGTCTTACCTGCCTCCACCATTTACAATAATCAATGTCAGATGGGCGACAGGTCAAAACGTGAAAAAGAAACCAACTACTTTTCCTTTTGCAAAAAGAAAAGGGGAAACTGTATTACTAGTTTGTGGGAGACACATTTTTCCTCGATGTGGACACAAGAACATGAACTTAGGGGGGACATGGACACAGTGGAATCCACTAAGATGAATAACTTCTGTTCCTTATAGACACCAGCGAGACAGTGAAGACGATAGATATTTGAGATGTCAAAATGAGACCACGGACTGGCATTCAGATCATTAGGAAACATGTACAAGTTGTTATGTGGCAGCAGAGAGCAATAGAGAAGCAAGCAAAAACTTAACAAGCAACTGATATTGACAGCAAATGCGCAGTGACATTATGTAAACCTGATGGGATGCCTTGGCTGGTGTTTCTCAGTGCTTAGAGCATCAGCCTGACCACTGAAGGATCACAGGTTTGCTTCCGGGTCAAGGGCATGTGCCTTGGTTGCAGGTTTGACCATGGCCCTCATGTGGGATGCAACCTCTTCACATGTTTCTCACATCAATGTTTATCTCTCACTCTCTCCTTCCCTCTCTGCCTTCCAAATGTTTATCCACTCTCTCCTTCCCTCTCTGCCTTCCATCCTCTCTAAAAATCATTGGAAATAATATCCTCAGGTGAGGAGTAACAAAAAAAAAAAAAAAAGAAAGTCGAAGAAATGCTGAGGCCACTGGGAATCTGCTCAGCAGAGTCTTTGATAAATGAGCTCTCTCAAGAGCCGTGGTCGGGTGTCCCATTGGGCTGTTCAGAGACAGACTCTCAGGGACAGATCCTGGGTCCTGCCTTCCCTGAGCAGGAATCAGACCAGCAGACACATGAGACCCTGAGGCTCAGGTGAGACCTCAGACACTGCTGACCAGCCTCCTGAAACCTGGACGCCCCGTGAGGCCTCATCCTGGGGAGACGCAGAGCCAGGCTCAGGGCGGGGCTGTTTCCGTGCTGTGGGGTGTGGTAATCCCGAAGGGTTGCAACAGCCTTTAACATGTCACATCCTGTGAGATTCTGTTCTGCAGGCTCAGGCTTCCTCCATCTGCAGAGCAGGAGCCCTCAGAGCAGACACCATGACGTCCATCCTCTCTGCTCTTCTCTGCCTCGGTTAGTTGTGGACATGGGGAGGGGGAGAGGAGGGGCAGCTGCATCCTCTTGTTCATGGGGAAACTCAGGCTCAGGCAGCTAGAGTGGACGGGGCCCTGATGGGAAGGAAATAAGCTCAGATGTCCTGGTGCAAATCTCTCACCTACACTCTCTTCCAGGGCTGAGTCTGGACCAGAGGACCCGTGTGCAGGCAGGTGAGTCCTCCCCAGGCTCCATGTCCCTCCTCTTACTTCACCCCTGGGGCTCAGGAGGGAGCGCAGAGGTGCTGGGTTGAGGTGATAAAAAGAGGAGGTTCTAGCACTAAGCTAGGAAATGAAGGTGGGGAAGGTCTTGGTAATGCAGCCTCTGGTTTCCTTCCACGGACTCTCCTCAAACCCACCCTCTGGGCTGAGCCAGCCTCTGTGATGTCCTGGGGGAGCCCCGTGACCATCTGGTGTCAGGGGACCCTGGAGGCCAAGGAGTTCTGTTTTCACAAAGAGGGAAGCATATTGCTATGGGGCAGAGTGAAACCACTAGATCCGATGGACAAGGGTACATTCAGCATCACAAGCCTGACAGAGCATGGTGCTGGGATATATCGCTATTGCTATCTGAGCCCTCATGACAGGTCACAGCACAGTGACCCCCTGGAGCTGGTGGTGACAGGTGAGAGGACACTCAGGGGTCCCAGCCTCAGGCTCTGCCCTCAGGAAGGGGGTCTGCTCTCAGGGTGTCTCCCTCTCACAGCCCAGCCCTGGGGGGGACATGAGGGAGGTGTGAGCCCATTTAACATGCTGCCTCCTCCTCCCCTACGAGCCTACAGCAAACCCAGCCTCTCAGCCCTGCCCAGCCCTGTTGTGACCTCAGGAGGGAACGTGACCCTCCAGTGTGGCTCAGGGGTGGCATTTGACAGGTTCATTCTGACTAAGGAAGGAGATCACAGGCTCTCCTGGACCCTGTACTCACAGAGACAGCCCAGGGGCAGTTCCAGGTACTGTTCCCTGTGGGTTCTGTGACCTCCAGCGATAGGGGGACATTCAGATGCTATGGTTATCACAGGTACAGCCCCCAGCTGTGGTCACACCCCAGTGACCCCCTGGAGCTCCTGGTCTCAATAAAGCCCATTATCATCTCATCCATTGATTTGGGCACAAAACTGGGGTGTTATTAGGGACATTACTTTGAGGGAATCCCCATGGGAGAGGGTGAGGTCAGGGGATCACAAGGGCTCCTGGGCCAGAGACAGAGACAGTGAGACCTGGAGGTCAGGCCAGGAGAAGGGGTTTATGGGAGGAGCAGCCCCTGTAATTCACATCTGATCTCACCAGGTGAATCTGGGAACCCCTCCAACATGACCAAGCAGGGCCCCATCGTGGCCTCTGGACAGAGCCTGACCCTCCAGTGTCGCTCTTATATCCGCTCTGACAGATTTGCTCTGTCCAAAGAGGGAGCCTTATCCTGCAGCCCCAGGCTAGGCTTGCTCAGACCTACTTCCTCTTGACAGTCAGAGAGGCTGACAGGGGGGCGGGTACATATTCTAGAGTAGAAACAACCTTTTCTTTGAGTGTTTGGCCCAGTAATCCCCTTAGACATCCTGGTGGCAGGTGAGGAGCCAGTGGGTTCAGTCAGGGACCCAGACTCTGCACAGGCCCTGCTGGGGTCTCAGGGGGTGAGGCCAGAATGAAAGTGCAGGGCCCCAGGGACGGAGAGAGACAGAGAAAGGCAGAGAGTGGGAGGGGAGTTGGGAGACTCAGAGAAACAGAAACAGACAGAGAGGAGGGTCCTCAGAGAGAGGCCTGGTGACTCTCAGATCAGATCAAAGTAGGCAGCCCACCCAGCATGGCTCAGAGGTTGAACTTTGACCTATGAACCAGAAGGTCGTGGTTCAATTCCAGGTGAGGTTGCATGCCCAGGTTGCCGGAAAAACCCCCAGGTAGGGGGCATGCATGAGGCAGTTGATCATATCTTCCGTCTCATCATTGATTTCGCTATCACTCTGTCCCTCTCCTTTCCTCTGTGAACCCGATCTATATTATAAAAGGCCAGTGGCCGTAATGCACAGGAGGTGCATTGATGGGTCTTGCGGTGCGGAGGGTCTGGGGTTCGACTAAAGCGGCGGGTTCAGCATCTCGTCTGATTTCACACTCTGGGCCTCTATTAAATATATGTAACATACAAGGTGGACAGGCAGCCCTCACTCCCCCTCCCTCTCTCTAGGACACCGGCCTGACATACCCTCCCTCTCAGTGCAGCCAGGCCCCAGGGTGACCACAGGAGAGAACGTGACCCTGCTGTGTCAGTCACAGAGCCCGAGGGACACGTTCCTTCTGTCCAAGGATGGCGCAGATCCCAGGAGGCTCTGATCCCAGGAGGCTCTGATCTATCCCCTGTGTCATAGATCAATGCACGGAGCTGGGCAGTTATAGGCAGAGTTCTCCATGAGTCCTGTGACCTCAGCCCACGGGGGCACCTACAGGTGCTACAGCTCACACAGCCCCTCCCCTTACCTGCTGTCACTCCCCAGTGAGCCCCTGGAGCTCCTGGTCTCAGGTGAGGGGCCCCTGACCCTGTGCTTCCTGAGCTCAGTCATTGAGGGCCCTGTCCCCAGGCGAGGTGAGGCTGGGATGGAAGAAATACAATAAGAGTGTCTTGGGCTGAGCTGTCGGATGAAGTGGGGAAGGCCTTTGTAATGCAGCCTCTTGTTTCCTCCAGGGACCCTCCCCAAACCCACCCTCTGGGCTGAGCCAGGACCAGTGATCCCCTGGGGGAACCCAGTGACCATCTGGTGCCAGGGGGCCCTAAGGCATGAGGAGTACCATCTGGATAAAGAGGGAAGCCCAGCACCATGGAAAAGAGAGAAGCCACTGGAGCCTGGGGACAAGGTGATGTTCTCCATCCCACACATGACAGAGCGTGATGCAGGGATATATCGCTGTTACTATCGCAGCCCTGCTGGCTGGTCACAGCACAGTGACCCCCTGGAGCTGATGGTGATGATGACAGGTGAGAGGACACTCAGGGGTCCCAGCCTCAGGCTCAGCCCTCAGGAAGGGGATCTGCTCTCAGGGTGTCTCCTCAGATCCCAACCCTGGGGGACATGAGGGAGGTGTGAGTCCATTTAACATGCTGCCTCCTCCTCTCCTAGGAGTCTACAGAAAACCCAGCCTCTCAGCCCTGCCCAGCCCTGTCGTGACCTCAGGAGGGAACGTGACCCTCCAGTGTGGCTCAGGGCAGGGATTTGACAGGTTCATTCTGACTAATGAAGGAGATCACAGGCTCTCCTGGACCCTGGACTCACAGCGACAGCCCAGTGGGCAGTCCCAGGCCCTGTTCCTTGTGGGCCCCATGACCCCCACACACAGGTGGAGGTTCAGATGCTATGGCTGCTACAGGTACAGCCCCCAGGTGTGGTCACCAGCCAGTGACCCCCTGGAGCTCCTGGTGTCAGGTGAGTCCCATTATTGCTCCATCCATGAACAGAGCTACCAGCCAAGTTTTTGGCATCTTTGCTGTGAGGGGAGCCCCAGGTGAAAAAGTTGGGTGAGGGGAGCACAGAGGCTTCTGGGTCAGAGACACAGCGAGACAGTGAGACCAGGGGGCCAGGAGAAGGGGTTATGGGAAGAGTCGCCCCTGTAACTCTTGTCTGGTCTCCTCAGGTGAGTCTGGGAAGCCCTCCCTCCTGAGCCAGCAGGGCCCCATCGTGGCCTCTGGACAGAGCCTGACCCTCCAGTGTCACTCTGATGTTGGCTATGACAGATTCGCTCTGCACAAGGAGGGGGGACGGGACCTCCCCGAGAGCCTTGTCCTGCAGCCCCAGGCTGGGCTCTCTCAGGCCCACTTCCCCCTGGGCACTGTGAGCAGCTCCCACGGGGGCAGGTACAGATGCTACGGTGGATACAACCTCTCCTCTGAGTGGTCGGTGACCCCCTCATCCTGGTGGCAGGTGAGGAGCCAGTGGGTTCAGTCAGGGACCCAGACTCTGCACAGGCCCTGCTGGGGGTCTAAGGTGGTGGGGCCAGAATGAAAGTAAAGGGCCCCCAGGGAGGGGGAGAGACAGAGTGAGGCAGGTGGGTGGGAGGGGAGGGCGGGACACTCAGAGAAACAGAGACAGACAGAGAGGGGGGTCCTCAGAGAGAGGCCTGGTGACTCTCAGGGCAGAACAAGGTGGGCAGGCAGCCCTCAC